CACTTTAAGTGTATTGAATGAAGGTGTTCAACAAATATTTGATCCATAATCCACAAAACTAGATCATCAAAAATATCTGTTACCATATTTTAAATCTGAAAAATACTATGAATAAAATACCTGAGAAACTTTCAATCGGATCACCATTCACTAATGACCAAAAAATAGTTCTTTATTAATCCCAAACAGGCACATTGTCTGGCCAATTGCCATGACAGTAGACTGCAATCCTTAAAATCTATTAAGTAGTCGTTGACACAAGGTATACATGGAGTACACTTCAGCACAAAATGTTTAACAAAATTCATGAAACACGATAAAGTATCAGGCATCAAGGGGAGTAGAACTAACAAAGAGAGTAAAGACAATTGCTACCACCAGAATTGCATATCCTGCATTATATGGTGAAAATGCATGTTGAAGATGCCTCGCAACAAATACGCAAAATATAACGACTGGAACAATAATCAGCAATAAAGTGACAAGCAGTGACGAAGCATCTGGTCCAAATATCAGCCTTCCACCAAAAAAAAATTTCTGCCAAACAAAAACAGAAAGATGAATCAAACACTAAACCATGATTAGTGTAAACTTGTCAAGATAAAAATTATGATATCAATTTCCCTTTCCGATATCAGATGTAACAATATCAGCCAATGCTGATAAAAAATAAAAAATAAAAAAACAAAAACAATGTCAGCTAGTTATTATGATATCAATTCCCCATATCCACCTGAAGTCATCAGACGATTCTCCTGCTTTGTAACCCCAACTGATCCCCCTCGCCTACTCTCTCACAAGCTTTACAACTTATTACATTAAATTATTAAAAATATACACGAACAGTCTTTTCAACTTCATATATACTCTCCTCTGTACATTTCACAAACAATCAACAATGAACCCATGTTTAAAACGCTCAGACATTCTCTGAGGTAAAATTTTGTGACACATAGCATTGATACAATACAAGTTTCATGCAAAAATCAATCAAAAGAAACTATTAACCCAGAAAAGGAACAAATCTAAAGCAAATCCAGATGCCAAAACCAAGCATTCAAACCGAAAACCAAAAAAAGATTAAAAAAAAAGTCGCAAACTTACATTTTTTCCTTCCCAAACTTCGTAAACGCGTTTTGCCATGAGAGAAATCCCAAGCCCTATTCGTGGTTCTCACTACGCCGGAACCGAGTGGAAGATTTGGAACTTGTCCTGGTTTTTCATTTCATTTGAAATTCTAAAAAATCCACCGAATTAAGAAGTGAAATCACGTTCGCCCTGCTGCAAATTGACAAGAAAATTCAAGAGTCGGAACCAGACTTCCCGGCATTCAATGCCAAAAAACGCAGCGGAAGAATAGTGATCTTGGCGATGGCGGATCCTGCTCTGTGTTCGCGACGGAAATGGGTATTTTTTGCCACCCAAACTGTCTCTGCAAGACTGGAACATCTTAAACTTACCAGTGATATTTCCGTTTAGATTGTCAATTTACATATTTACCCCTTTGTAAGCGTAACCACGTTGGGATAATATTGGTGGGTCCATGGCCGAAGTGGCAGAATTCTGTCGGTGCTGTTACTGCTGTATGATACAACACATAAGTATGGCGAAATTTTTTGGTTAAATGCTAAATTTGGTCCCTCAACTTTATGAGTTGCACTTTCTTGGTCCCTCAATAATTTTTTGCACTTTTTTTATCCCTTAACTCTAGGAAATGAACAACATTTGTCCTTCCGTCAATTTAATCGTTAACTCGACACATGTGATATTTTTTATATTTTTTTTGATGACATGAAAAGCAAAATTTAAAAAAGTGTTGATATGGACAAAATGTTTTGCCATGTCATGTTCCTATGACTTAAAAGGTGCCAAATCCACTCAAATGGGCCTTACATTGCCTGCCAAAGCACCAATAAAGGGGTAAAATGCCTATAAACCCTAAGTTGCTCTTTCATCTCCACTTCTGCAAAATCGATCTTATCCCATTTCTTCTTCTTCCCTGAATGCTCTCTCATCTCCACTCCATCAAATTAACTCAATAAACAATGTCAATCAAACCCTAATTAAATTTCAATATAAATACAATCAAATTGTAAGTCAACTCTCAAATTTATCAAGAACTGGAAATGGAAATCGAAAGAAGAATGAGAAAACATGGTGAACTTGACAAACCTAGTTCTAAAAAAGAATGGAAATCAACATAATCTAGTTCTAAACCTAGCAACTGGGTTTCAAAGAAACTCAATAAAGCTGGGCTTTGTCAAACCCAGTCGATTTGGGTTCCACGGAACCCAGCTGCTGGGTTCCAAAGCTGGGTTTCGTCGAACATAGCCAATTTGTTACCACCTTTTCTACTGGTGAAATCATGATTAATTCTCAAAATCCCATGGATAACATTGCAGCATAATATAATCTCAATGCAACAACCATTCCCAGAAGCCTTTCCATTTTTTTTTTTTTTGAATAGCAAGTAAAAAACAAGAGAGATAGCCTTCAATCAGAAACCAAAGAAACATCCGAAAACCAATTTGGGTTCCACCGAACCCAACAGTTGGGTTTGACGGCACCCAATAGAATTGGGTTTTGTCAAACCCAGCAGTTGGGGTCGACGAAACCCAACCGATCTGGGTTCCACAAACCCAACAACTGGGTTCCACAAACCCAACAGTTGGGTTCGTTGAAACCCAGCCGATCTAAGTTCCACGAACCTAACAGCTGGGTTCATCAAAACCCAACCAATCTGGGTTCCACAATCCCAATAGCTGGGTTCGAGGGAACCCAAGCGATATGGGTTCCACTGAACCCAACAAATTTGGGTTCAGTGGAACCACCGAGCCAGAGGTAAGAAAGGAAAGAAAGAAGGATTGAGAGGGTGAGGGCTAATGATTTATTTTGTATGTTTTTATTTTTTTCATTAAAATATAAATATTTAACTGATGTGGCTTTTTTTTTGTCCATATAAGATAATTCTAAAATATATTATTGCCACATCATCAAAAGAATTAAAAGAAAATGCCATATGAAATTATTTAACTGCTATGTCATATTTAACTGACGGAAGGACCAAATTATGCAATCTTTAGAGTTTAAGGATCAAAAAAGTGCAAAAAATTGTTAAGGGATAAAAAATGTGCATTTCATAAAGTTAGGGACTAAATTTATCATTTAACCAAAAGTTTTTAATAATTTTTTAATATAATTTTTTTATAATATTAAATGAAT